GGAATCCTTGAGAAGAACGTATAATAATACCTAAAGATTTATAAGCAGATGATGCAACTATGTCAATGTGTTTTATAAAATTTAATTTAGCATCGAAAACAACACCAAGATCTTTTATGTACTGAGGCCTTTGCAACATAGAACTATCAATGTTATAGTTATATTTGATGTAGTTAATTTTACGTGTAAAAGACATTACATTACATTTTTCTGCATTTAGAGGTAATTTATTTTGGTTGCACCAAACAGCTACCATATTTATTGCTTTTTGAAGTAGAGCACAATCAGATTCAGATGTAATTTCTGTGAATAATTTCAGATCATCAGCATACAACAAACAGTGTACCCAATTAACATTCGCAATTATGTCGTTAATAAACATTACGAACAATAACGGGCCCAAAATAGATCCTTGTGGTACACCCGACCTCTGCTGAAACTTTTCAGATTTATACCCCCGGAATTGAACAAATTGGTATCTATTCTGCAGATACGACTTTAACAAATTAATCATTGGTTAGATGCTGAGATCAAACGCTGTTAATTTATCCAATAAAATTCCGTGGTCGAGTCTGTCGAACGCTTTAGAGAAGTCAGTATATACAACATCCACTTGACTCTGACTGTCAAGCTTTTCAGCTATGTATTGACATTTTGTGACCAAGTTAGTAACCGTTGATCTGTTCTTTATGAATCCATGTTGTTCAATCGATATTGTATTTGAAACCCGACTGTAAATGAAGTTATGAAGAATAATTTCCAAGACCTTGGCAAAATTACAGATAATACTAATAGGCCTATAATTGGTAAGTTCAAGTTTTTCACCTTTTTTATAAATAGAGCATATTCTGGACAGTTTCCAAAGATCGGGAAAATAACATGAATTAAGGATTAAGTTAAAAACAAACGCAAGTGGTTCCGCCAGAGCAGTAGCACAATCTTTAACCAAGAATGAAGGAACTAAGTCTGAGCCCATAGTCATAGTAGGTTTAATTATTTTAATGGCATTAATAATATCAGTTTGACTAATAGAAATATTTGATGATGCTGATGAAAAGATAGAATTATTAATTATCATGCTTGGTACCGTAAAGGATTGGGAAAAATAGTCAGCAAAACTATTAGCTATCAATTGGGGATCGTCAATTAAGTCATCATTATATTTCAGTATGTGAGGAAGAGGTGCTAAATTAAATTGGGAATTAAAATAAGTCGAGAATTTCCTTGGATTTGATTTTATATTAAATTCAATATTGTGAAGAATAGGCTTCATGTGCTAATCTAATATCAAATTTTATCTGTGATCTAAGACGTTTAGATGCATTCAAATCATCATCGTTATTAAACTTTTTATACCTTCGCCAACATGAGTGCTTTTGTTTAATATTATAAATAATATGACCAATAAACCAAGGAGGGTAAGATTTCGTTGTAGGTTTTTTCATGGGAATATTATCATAAAATATGTCCTTCAACTTATTATTAAATGACTCGACTGCGTTATTTGGATCTCCATGCTCTCTAAGAAAGCGCCAATTAGTATTAGCAATATCTTCATACAAGGTCGGAAAATTAGCTCTTTTAAAGTTAAAATCATTAAAGTTTTCGAAAGTTTTAGTTGAAAACGTCTATTAAATTCTACTACTTTTGTACCTATTATTTTTTGTGAAATATGAGTTTGACCTTCAGATGATTTGCAAGGACATATGAAAAATTTTTTGGTCCCAGATTCTGACATAAAATTTGACGCTGTATTGGTTACTGGTATAAAAAATAGCGCAATTTATTTAATATTAAGTTGACCTTAATTTGACTGCGACTTGTGGTGAAGGTTAAATTTAAAGTCGCCATAAAATTTCATTCAAAATCCTAAAAATTTTGCTTAAAACATTTTTGTCGAGTTATTCAAAGAAAAATAAATTTGACCTCTAATAACCTACAAGGACTTAACAGGAAAAATTTGAAAATTTTTTTGACCCCATTTTTGAACTTAATAGTAGCTCTCTTCTGGCACAAAAATAGAATGTTCATTCAAAATTTTCAAGTTTACATTAGTTTGACCTTGAAACCTAAGGTCAAGGTCAAACCCAAGTCACTAGGATATTGATTTCTTGATATTCTACAACTTTTACCTGATTTTTTTGATAAAACTCAATTCTGAAAAGTTATAGTTTCTTTTTGTCATATCTCTTATTGGGATATCCTGCATATATATTTTTTTTTTATAAAACCGTGCGCATAGACGTGTCTGAACAATATTTTTAAACAATTTTGTGTTTGACATTGAGTTTACTCCAAATTAGTGATTCGCACTTCGTATCGTCTAAAAATTCATAAATTATGTTTACTACTCTCCATATACATATATCTATAAAACAAAGATAGTAAATAAAACTTTACTCACTTGTACGAAATGCAAATCTTCAACCCACGCAGCATATCATCGGTTTTATCAATGTTCCTAAAAATCTCTGCAACCTTTTTCGCAAACACACATCCTACTATGATTTCACAGAGATACAGCAGGGCAGAAAACAGGTCTTGATAGAATCGTATTGTGCATAGTACACTAGTAATAGCATCAAACGTATACAGAATATAACAAACGACCAAAGTATACAAGATAGCAAAAATTACTGATCTCGCTACCGCAAATTTTGAATAAATTATTTCTCTTTTTCCATTCTTATTTTTGGTACCAAGAGGTGTCAATCCAAAGAAAGTACTTACAAGGTATAGTGGGAAAAATGTTGAATATATCTGTTTTGGAAAGTGCTTTCGAATTTTGAAGAGAATCATGTTGCCAGGCGAAGAACTGAAATTACTTTAACTTAGCTATGGAAATGTACATATGAAAATTGTTATTACCGACTGTACTTCCAATTAAATTGAGTTGTTTGAGGAGACAGTAAGTAATTGATTACGAACACATTTATTCAAATGAGTTCAATATATACAGCGTCTATATTCTATAGCAAGAAAACGTTGTTGTCGAATACCTATTATTAACACGGGCAATTTTTGATGCCAGAACATTTTAATTATTTTCTTTCAGACACCACTTTTGAAATTGAATTTTAGGCATATTGACTACAACCATCAAATGTAAAATGTTTATATCATTTGAAGTTACATTTACAATGATTACGAAATTTAATGTTTACCATTACCTATCATATTTCAAATTAATTCGCCAAAAGGAAAAATGCAAAATGATTCATAAAATTACATTTTTTGAACATCTTTTGTTTTTTTTATTATTATTTTATAAATTTGTGCACATGAATACAGATATACATTTTCAATTAAAATGACTAATTGAACCTTCTGAACTGACTAATGTAAGACAGCTGTTTAATATACTATTGTATACTAAAAAAGTGCTCCATCTTGGATTTTCTTCTGTGTATTTTGACTCAGCAAGGTAAAGTAGGTAAAGGAGGTAAAAATTAATAATATAAATTTAACTAAACAACTAAATCATTCACCATAAGAAATAATGAATAATTCAACACTCCTATAGGTAAAGCATTCATTGTAATGGGTCTCTGACTTTTGTCGAGCATGAACCTCGCGTCCCTCATTATTTTCGCATCACCCTCATGCCGTCTTGAGTCGTAGATTACGTCAGTTATTGGCAATGTCTGAAAACACACATAATGACTGTTTATTGACAGTATCTGAAAGTTTACATTATACATATTCAGTATGGAATAGCCAAACGGAATAAATTCAGCCTCTCAATTATTGTGCATATTTATAAAAAATGCCGAGACACGTCAATTTTGGATTTTGAAATGACATACTGCAAAATAAACATTTCGTTCCTAATTTCAACCCCTTTCGAATGGCAGTTGCAACCCACAAATATTTATATAGAAGTAGGGGCTTGTGATACCTCATTTGAAATATCTGTTCATTCTCTGTTCAAAAATTTTATGGTTTTAATATTTATTCCAAAAATTAATCGCTTGCTTGGCCAAATTCGTTACAACAAACAAAAACATAAAAACTTGCATCGTTTTGTCTTTGCAGGCTAGCAAGAACAAATTCAACATTATCAACTAAAAAGAAGACATAGAAACTTATCAAAATTCTTCATAGGCATGTTTATTGAAAACGCCGTAGCTACTTGCTATTTAATTGAAGCAATAAATAGTTGTCAGTGTTTTGCGTATTGTTTGACTTTTGCTTACTGCAATTCCTAAACATCGTTTATTTTACAGAAATGCATAAAATAACAATTATACATATAATAAGTTTGGTTACGGAGATAGAATGCGATCATAGACCTATAGTAGGATCGTATTCGATGCAAAGTAGAGCAAAAAATTGTCGGCCTTTTATCAAAGGAAAATCGTGTCATCATTTTTAGGAGGCGTAAGATGAACCATTTCAAATTTAAAATGAAATTGAATATAAAAACTGAAATACCGCGCATACGCACTGTGTTCTGGTACTAGCTGTAGTCGGCCAGGTGCATCGAGTGTACGAAGTGGTCGGTTATACGTCAAATACTAACCTGGCGAGCTTGATCGTAAAGCAGGGAACAATAAACAGTGGCGCGTACAGAGGTGAAATGTAGTACATATGTGGAATTTAAATAACGAATTGGATTTATAATAAATTACAATTAAAACAAATAGTTTATGAGAATAAATGGATTTTTGTAGAAACAGGGTTCCATACGTGAACTGATCCCTTCATCGCACCCCATTACGATTCTTTTTTTATAAGGAGAACGAAGTTTCAAAGTAAAAACCTTGTATAACAGATATACTATAAATATTTACAGAATGAAATCAAAATATAAATCCTATGATATGATTCTATCAAATGAAAACACTAACAACAATTCTCTACCAATCTCAACAAAATAAGTTATTTTTCTATCAAACAAGAAATATTAACAAATTGTAAACAAAATATAAATTCTATGATTTATGTACTGTACGCCAAACTGCATTTTTCTCATCTTCATTTAATATTAATTTCTTCTTTCCACCCCCTTTTTAGGTTTCTTAACGTCTCCTTCACTTTTCTTCTCTCTTAACATTTTGAAAACAGATGATTCGCTTACTCCAGTATATCTAGAACACATTTCCACCAAACCAGTCTTCATCAGATGATTTTTTTTTCATGAGATGATCCTTTTCTAAAGTGTTATAAACATTTAATATTATCGTTTTTTCTCTGTAACTTAATACAGATTTTTTTTGTACCCACAGCAGTACATCCGGCTTGCGAACTTCCAGGCACCGCCTCCATTTCTCCATATAACAACATCAGAGCAATAATAATACAAAAATCTTCACTTCACTAGCACAGAAAATATAATAGTATTCACGATTCACAAACAACAGCCCGAAACACACACACAGCACTAAATAAAACACTAAAAACACTTTTGTTACGGAGCACAAGAAATATGATTTCACTCACAAATTCTCAAATAATAACGCGAAACACACATACAGCCCGAACAAAATATAATTGCACTTTAACAGTTATAACCTCACAAATATCGCGAACGAGAAACACGCAGCACCAATACAACCGAAATGAAACTGACCACGCCGGGCCGGCACGCGCGCCGCCGCAACAAACACAAGACACAAGTCATATGAGGGAGGATGAAGGGAGTAATAAATGTATTGTTGCCCTGCCGCCCAATGTGCGAAGGAGATGCCTTTGTTTTTCATTTTGTCTTTCATAAATATATAACTATTAATCCATAATGCATAAAGAAATTATTCAATTTCCAAAACCCCCTAAAACGTGTTGCACTGATTCCCTTGACAGGCAATGATTTATTACATTGCATCGAATATGATCCTACTATAGAACTGCTCGCCTATTTGAAGAAAAATTTCGTGATTTGCCGCCAATATCTCTAGGTACTATTAGCAAAATTGAAAAGCAGTTTCTCGAAAATGGATATTTACGGCAGATAAAAAAAACGTTTGCAATGATATGAACAACGGTATCAAATTGGATGTATTACTTGGGTTTGAAGAAAACCTACATAGTTCAAGTCAACAAGCAGCTTCTGCATTGAATGTTTCCCGTTCCTCGATTAAAAGCGTATTAAATGAAAATAAAATGCGTCCCTATAAACCCCAACTCAGAAGCATATTTTTGTAAACAAATGATGCAAAAGTTAGATAACAATGTTATCCAACAATGTTTTGTTTTCTAATGAGTCCACTTTTCCTCTTCATGGCCATGTTAATCATCAAAACTGTTGCTGGGCTAATGAAAATCTTCCCTGGATGATAGAATTACATACGAAAATCGTAAAATGGTTAATGTTTGGGCGGGGATAATTGGAGACCATGTTGAATGGAGATAATTATTTACTTCTGCTCCAAAATAATGTTGTGTCTACTTTGGTGGCAAACTTATATCCTGCTAAAGCAGACCCACGACTTCCAGCCGATATGATATTGTGCCAGCAGGATGGAGCACCACCACATTACCGAATTTTCGGCAATATTTCGACTTAACATTTCCAAATCGGTGGACAGGGAGACGAGGATCGCTAGGATGGTCAGCACGTTCTCACGATCTTACACCCTTAGATATTTCTTTCTATGGGGATATGTGAAAAGTATGGTATGCAAAACTAAGCCACGCGGTATAGCTGACTTGAGAAGAAAAATAACTGTTGAGGTTAGGTCGATCACGCTTCAGATGTTGGAAAACGTTGTTTATTTACGATTAGGGTGCTGCCAATACGTTCAAGAAACTCATTTTGAACATCTCCTAATTTTTTTTAAATTTGCTACAGCTAACTTTTGCAATAAATATGAAAACCATAACATTATTGAGTAGAGAATGAAAATACCTTTCAAATGAGGTATCGCAATTTCCCATTTAAAAATTTAGGGGTTGCAACTGCCACTCGAAGGAGGGTTAATTTAGGGATGAAATTTTTATGTTGTAGGATGTTATTCCACAATCCAAAACCGACGTGTCTAAGGTTTTTATTCCATTGGGCTATTACATACTGTATATCTACCTACTTTGATGCACATATCTTAGCCCATACATTTTGAATGAATATATTGAAATATGTACCGATTAGTTTAAACCATGTACTTTGCTGGGATTTTTACAGCAACAATTTTTTATGATCAATACGTTTGTTCTTTAATCTGACATACTTTGTCTATAATTTCATAGTATATTGCTAACTTTAATTTACAATCGCACAATTCTTTCAAATTTAATTAAAGACTAGTAAAAATATATGGATGACCAAAGATTAATAATTTAAAAAAATATCGATTTGAAACAGAAGGTTGTGACAGAGTTTACACTGAAAGATTTTGTTTAAACTATAAATGTTAGTATCACATTTTTGATACAATAAATGTGTGTTGTTAATAAAATTCGATTTTCTCAAAAACGGTACAAGATATTGACTGATGTACGGTTTACCTTTTTTTTAGCAATAGAGAGAGGAATCGAACTATGAAAGAAAAATATCAAATTTGGCAACGCTGTCAAAGATGTATAAATTTAAATGAATAATTTCGTTTGCTCCTGTATAATCTAGGCATATTGAATAGAGGAATATTGCCCAAATTTCATTGTTGTCATGGTAACGACTAAGAAGTTACAAACTTATTTCTTTGAAGGCGAATAACTCCACAACGAATCCCGATAGAAACATTTTTTTTATGAAGTACTACATCTATTTTGACCCTGTATACCCCTTCATTTTTGACATGACCTTTCCGGACACCCTGTATAGTAATTGTAGGTTAATTGTACAAAGTACAATATCGTCTATTGTAATTTTGAATCTACGTTCTGTAAGCAAAAACTAGTTTCTCCTTTTATAAATGTAAAGTTACATTTTATCGATTATTTTTAATTAAAAACCGAGTTGTTTTTAATAGTACGTAATTGATTATACCAGCATCTCCACGTATAATAATACAAAATGAAAAATTACATAGTAACTCTAAGAGCATGGGGGCAATAATACAGTCATTTCTCTTATTTATTAGCAGCAATTTATTAATTCCATATACATATATATTTTTCTATTACATATAATTTATTTACTGATAATAATGCATTAATATTATTAAGCACTTAATCTTGCAAAGCCTTCCGAAATATTTTTATAATAAAATGGTATTAATATTCGTAGTGTTTACGTAAGTAAAACTTGGAAAAACAAAAAGATTAGTATACAAATTAAATGCAAAATAATAATTTTCCCATTTATTTTGTGAAAGGGTGATTTTCCACTACAAAATAAGAATCCCTCTGGTGATTTTGTAGTACAATCTCCATAGTGTGCAAAAGTACTCTCTAGTTATTGCTAATAGATATATTATCATATTTTGATAGACAATTTATTTCTTCTTCTAAGTATTCTGAGTTAACAAGGTGAGATACGAGTAGGAGGTCTTCATTATCTAAAAAGAAGCTTGTTACTCATAAAAACTAGCCCGTATTAAACATCACACCATCAGAAATAAAGCATAATTCATGCATCCCAATGGCAATGCTCCTATCATAACTGGTATCTGAGATCTAGCTAGAATAAAACGTATGTCCCTCATTATCTGCACATCGCCGTCGTACCATTTTGTGTCATATATGACGTCGGCAACCGACAGTGTCTACAGGAAAAAAAATGGAAGTATATTCATATAATATCAAGACCAGAAACGAATAGGCCATATGCAATATTGCCTCCTTAAAATTGTTTTAATTGATTGTCTTAAAATGACTTCCTTGTTTTTTTCAGAGAGTCCAATGAAATTTGATTAGTAGATATCTAAGAATACCAGAAATTGTTGTTTTGCCTTTTATTTGTTGGTAGAGGTTTTTGAAAAACGCAGGTATTTCACGTAAAGTAACTTTATTTATAAATGTAGTCGTGTAACCACGACAAAATGAAGCATTGGCTTTACTATCAACCATGCACTTCATATTACCGCAAAACTTTCTTGATATATTAGCTATGTAACGCTATATGCGATATTAGAAAATATTCATTACCAAAATGACATACACTATAATTTTGTCCATACTATTCCAAACGATGTTCCGAACGAACGTCCAAAGAAAAGCCAAAAACAAAGGTTCTTCTGATCAAGTCATTGATGATGACTATAGTCAAAACATGTGTACCCGATCTAATCGAGAAGAATTTTACATTTTACAGACGTAAGAGACACATTTTTCAATTCGTAACTTTGAGAGTTAAATAAAAATAATAAAAAATAATAATTTCATTTTACAATGTTTGCCTTATTTGTCATTTCAGATAAATGTAAAACTAGTCGACTATTCAGCAGTATTGTAGCTAATTAAATTTCTCCTTTTGAATAAATTTGTACTTTTGAAAATTTTTTCGATATAAATTAATTTGCCTTCGAAAATCAACGCCTATGAAATATAAGCCTGTAATTATAGTTTTCCTGGTCTCCAAGGAAAAGGTTCTATCTTGGTAAGCATTTTCTGAAAACTACTGCCAATGAAAAATATAATAAAAAATTATACATAAAGGCTGTTACAAATTCACTTCTCACTACAGGGATCTCGGAAACGATAAGAGATACGAAGTAGCTTAAATGGGGGCAAAGTTGCATAATGAGGGGACCAACATTATGCCTCTAAAAAATCAAGGCTAACGTGATTAGTTTTCGAAATATTTGAAAAATCCGAAATTTTGGAAATTCGTTTTTGTTTCATTTCAGCCTTGTTTGAGATGATACCTACTGAAAAAAGAATAACACTTTCTCATGACAACTTTTTGCCCTCTATCGAATGAATTTTTATATGTAACGTTTCGTCTCTCCAGGACCATCATCAACTTCATTTTTTTAAATACGACCCTGGAAATGAAACAAATACGTATTTTCAAAATTTCGTTTTTTTTTTTCAAATATTTCGAAAACTAATCATGTTAGCCTTGATTTTTTAGAGGCATAATGTTGATCCCTTGATTATGTAACTTTGCCCCCATTTAAGCTACTTCGTACCTCATAGCGTTTCCGAGATCCCTGTAGTGAGAGGCGAATTTGTAACAATCTACAGTGTATCCCGTTTTTCAGGTTAACACCTCTGGAAATGTGAGAAGGCTGTGGACTTTTCGGAAACCAATTTTTTTACAAATAAATAGTACCCTGAAAGGAGGTTATATTCTACTAATCATTTTATTGATGTGACAAAAGCCTGGCCTACTACGATTTTTTAAAAGGGTCGTTTTTCCAGAAAGTGGTATTAGAAATTTTTTTATCAAAAAGATAATATTACCAGGCTGTTCAACACCCATCAAAATACCCATATCCCAAATTTGATTGCGGAAAATCCACAGCCTTCTCACATTTTCAGAGGTGTTAACCTGAAAAACGGGACACACTGTATATACTGTTTCAGGTATTTTTAGAGACTTTTATGATTAGAAATGATTTTAGGTAAAACCCCAGCTACCCCAAAAACACTCCCCTTTACCAATTTTCATTTAAATATCTGAAAAGCTGAGGGAATTATATTAAAAACAACTACTATTCAACAAATTTATTAAATTTTTTTTGTATGTCTTGTATGTAAACATATTTCTCAACTTTTTTGTAACTATGTGATTGAAGTTTTTATAAAAGTTCTGTTAATTTAACTTAACTGCAAATGAATAAATAAAAAAGCAAAGCAAAATTATCCTAAGGTAATTTGGTCTAAATCGGTTTATTTTCATTAAAAGAAACTATTCTTGAAGTATGGCCCATTCGCTTCCAGAACCCTATAAACATCTGAATAAAATGGGAATGCAGCATTTCATCAATTTGCATAAAAATATCATACCTCATCTAGTAGCCTCTGTCCTCCGTGGCAAAGTAGAAATAAAGCGAAAACATACTCCAGCAGATAACTTATTCCTGCAATTGGTTTAGACTGCGAAATGACAAAAATTTATTTGTGTATAGTTACAATGTCTCGAATTAAAGAAAAGTTATCAAATATACAAAATATTTAAAAATTCATTATTTAATAAAATTGACTGTGAAGGTGATTTTTGGAAAAAATAGAGACATTTTGTAATGTAAACAATGTGATTTTTGTAAAATTAACAACGAATACCATAAGGTTTTCCATAGTTTATTATAAAAATTAAACCAGTGTACTAATTAGTCTATTATACATATAAATTTGTACATAACAATTATTACTGAAGCTTTTGCAAAAAGAATTACAAAATACCCACCTTTAGTATAAGATTTCCAATACATCCAAACACCAGTGCACATGCCATACATAGGAAACCGGACGTATATTTTCCCAAAGTACTTAGACGCTGACACAAACTACAAGGATGTTATACAAAGAGCGTTCCAAAGTAAACAGGTAGTGGAGTCAAGATAGCTTAAAATTATGCATTATTTCGAAATAATTATGGGAAGCATGGATTTTCCTAAAACCTTTTGAAATTAATTGGAGATAAGTATTAGAAAAAAGTTATAAACTTATTTGTGTACGCTAATTGTTTTTTAATTGTTTAAATAATAATAAATAATTTTTTTAAGAACATTTAATTTTAAATCGAATTCTTTCAAATTAACAGCATAGGGGTTTTTGACGTCGCTAAACAAGAATATGCTGTCAAAAAATGAAAATTCAAAATGGCTGATCCAATATGGCCGACTATTTTAAACAATTTATTTAACAATTATCGCTCATATTTGTAATATAGAGGTTCGAAAAATGAAAATTATAAATGGCTAAAGAGGTTTTTATTGAAAATATGTTTTATTTTTTAAAAAAATTATTACAAAATAATTAATTTTTAAATCTCATCGAGTTCTTGCTCTTTTTCAAAAATAACTGGGCAATTAAAGCAATCAATGCCAGCACAGGAAGGGTATGCTGCAGTGCAAATCAACCCTGCTTTCCTGCAGCCGCAATCGTTGCCACAGCCAGATTTGCACCCACAAAAGATCATTTTTAGCAGTTCATTGGGCGCTGGATTTTGAGTCATGATAATTGAAGTCATACATAACCGATCTCGTTTCCAGCCCCAATGTTCTGCTTGTAATTTATTACCAAGCCAAATATGGACTTGGTAATAAACTCTTAAAAAATGTAATTTAGCTGCATCTTCTGAGTACCTTATAGTTGTAGCAGTGTACAGAGCTATTAAGCACGTAACACCTGCCTCAAATAAAACTTGTGAAGGCTGTAACAGTGTATCTAAAAAATGTATTTGCAACTTAGGTTATATAAGCGAAATTTCGAAAAACCGACAATTTTCTGTAACACTATAGCAGTTACGCCCCCTAGCTGTGAAGTTACAAACTTGAAAATATTTTAAATCGATTTCTTTTGGTCGTATTTGTTAATAGATTTTTTACCCCATAATCGTAGCACGTCTAGTTTTCTATATACAGCCGCTCGATACTGTTAATGGATCACCCTGTATATACATACATACTACATCAATAAGAGAATTTATATTCACAATTTCAGATACAGAATATATGTTTTAAAAATGAATATTAAATCAATTCATCAAAAAACGTTATTTTTTACTGTTATAACAATTTTCCACTTATTACTATAAATAAAAAAAATATTTTTCGCTGGATTTACTTTCTCTAAGGTCTTAACTTAATTCTTTGATGGTTTATTAAACAAAAAAAAAATAATTTTGTACATTAAATTTAACAATAAATTTCACGGATTTTTCATGAAATATTTTAATTTTTTGTTATTTTTTATTTCAATTTTTTAAGAAAAATAAAATGCACCATCTTAAAGTAGAGATTTTAAGCTTTAAAAAGTGCTCTCATAAAGTTTCAATATCACATTTACAACTATAGTTTTTATTTATAAAGTATGGCCTAAAAAGTCAAATTTGTGATTTTTTAAAATTATTGAATATGTTGGGCTCAATATTTTTCAAATTAAATTTTTAAGATTTTTTCCATATCGCTCACTGTTACAATCGTCATTTGAAGAGTAATCTATGAAAGTTAACAAACATTTATTTTAAAAATTAAAAGAATGACAGCTATTTTATTATTGTTGTACAAAATTATAGAATGACTTTGTATACGTACTATATACATTTTTTTCTCAAGTTTAAAAACATAAAATATTGATAGTCGGATGACTCTTCTTTCATTTAAATTTTTGTGAGGTCTATTTGATCAATTAGATCAAAAGTTATAACAAATTTAGTGTAGCGCGCTCGGGGCCGCGCGCTCTTCGAGAGCTATACTTGGGGACCGCCCGTCTCATTTTTCGTACGTTAAAAAAAAATTGTACAGCCTTCAATTCGCATTTTCGAAAAAAACTGTGTACATTTTTTATGTAAAATTTCCTGTTCTTTCGAATGGCGCAGATAATTTTTATTTTTAAATGAAATTTTTTTATATATTTTGCAAAAACTGTAATTTTGCAACTAATTTGTTAAATAAATAATTTAGCGTACACTCTACAGTTGGTAACTTTTTAAATGTTGTTTCTGACAACTTTACAAAGCGAAAAATAAAAAGTTCTCTCTTCCCGTAATTTTCGCGAAGTCAAAATCTATCTTGACTCCACTAACGACTTTTCAAAAATAAGTATTTCTAGTAAGGTCATCTATTGGCAATTACAGGCGTTGGAAATGTAGATGCTTCACTATCGTACTGTCAAAATTTCATGATATTTGGACGAATTTATGATTAAATAATTCTCTTTATTCGTAGGGACGAATAGAAGAGGAGTTGTTGCGTATGAAGTGACAGTCTGTTTGTGTCATCGGTACAAAAATAAGCACCGTACAAAGACCTAATTACACAGCCAAAAAAAAAAGTTGTCAGTACTTTTCATGCAACATGTTATCTGTAGTATTTTTGCCTCCTGATCACGAATCCGGTGTCAGAATTAAGTTATCGAGTCACAGGAATTTCCTAATCTCAAAAACCAGGTCAAAAATTTCGTGATACTTTTTAAAATTATCCCAGATACTAAGTAAACTTCTGCAAAAAATTAAGGGAGCAAAAAATTTTTTCGAATTTTTAGTGATACTTCAGAATGCTGTATCTCAATTAAAAATGGTCGTATCAAGGTTTTAAAAAAAGCATTTTAAAGCGCCGAATGTCTAGTTTCCAGATTTCTCGGCTCAAAATTTTTAGGAACGACAGTCATCGCGAAATTCTAAGAAATAAGACTAAAAAATGTTTTTTTTCAATTTTTTGCGTTTTTTTTTTCGGCCCACGGGCTTGGAAAAATTTTTTACACAAAGATCATGACATGGACATGATAGCTTGTTCATTCAGCTTTAATTTCTTTTTTTAAATTTTTCTCTACGTTAATTTGCGCCGGAGATATTCGACTACGAATACAAAAGCATCCTTTTGGATTTAACCATCGATATCTCAGCAACTAATGATCAGACAGAAAATTGACGGGCAGTTTCGAAATCTCGAATAAATCTCCTACAAGGCTATGTAGCGTTCTTGGAAGAAAAAAATTTTCTTTCATCCTCGACATTAACTTGAAAAAAGTGAAAAAAAGTGACTTTTTGACTTGTTTTGCTAAGTCGACCGCATCTTTGCTAATATCGATGGAGAGTCTAATGCTTGTACGAATTTTTACACCTCGATGTACCCCCAAAAGCTCCGTAAATGGGCAGATCGATCTATCGAACGGTTTTTCCGGACCGCTTAATCAAAATTTCAGAAAAATTTAAAGGAGCAAAATTTACATTTCTGAGCACCCTGTAACGTTCGTAAAAATGAAAAATTTGATTTTTTTTCAATTCTTTCACAATTGGGCATTTTTTGCTCATTGAATTTGAAAAAAAAAAAATTTTTTTAATTTATAAAAATTTTTTGAAAATTTACTCTTCTTTATTTTTTAACAACTCAAGATAAAAATATTGAGTCATTTTTGAAGCGATGTACTCTTTCCGTACCGTAATTTCCTTTATTTTGAATTAACGAAATTGATTAAAAGTTGATACCCCCAAGATTGGTGTAGTCCTCGATCTGCGAAAAAATAGTGCGTATTATCCTAAACTTTCTTACGAAGCTAACAAGTGTGAAAAAAACAGTTTTTTTTTAAACTCTATCTTTGATTCAAAGGAACCAACCAACAGTTTTTCTCAAAACTAACAATATTTTTTGTAATTCTAGTGAAAAAAATTAATCAAAAGTTTTTGTAGACTTCAATTTTTTTAATTTTTGTCATGCCTAGACGGCATTTATCATTTTTATTTTATTTATCAACTTTTAATCAATTTCGTTAATTCAAAATAAAGGAAATTACGGTACGGAAAGAGTACATCGCTTCAAAAATGACTCAATATTTTTATCTTGAGTTGTTAAAAAATAAAGAAGAGTAAATTTTCAAAAAATTTTCAAAAATTAAAAAAAAAGTTTTTTTATTCAAAAATTATTATTTTTTTCAAATTCAATGAGCAAAAAATGCCCAATTGTGAAAGAATTGAAAAAAAATCAAATTTTTCATTTTTACGAACGTTACAGGGTGCTCAGAAATGTAAATTTTGCTCCTTTAAATTTTTCTGAAATTTTGATTAAGCGGTCCGGAAAAACCGTTCGATAGATCGATCTGCCCATTTACGGAGCTTTTGGGGGTACATCGAGGTGTAAAAATTCGTACAAGCATTAGACTCTCCATCGATATTAGCAAAGATGCGGTCGACTTAGCAAAACAAGTCAAAAAGTCACTTTTTTTCACTTTTTTCAAGTTAATGTCGAGGATGAAAGAAAATTTTTTTCTTCCAAGAACGCTACATAGCCTTGTAGGAAATTTATTCGAGATTTCGAAACTGCCCGTCAATTTTCTGTCTGATCATTAGTTGCTGAGATATCGATGGTTAAAGCCAAAAGGATGCTTTTGTATTCGTAGTCGAATATCTCCGGGTCAAATTAACGTAGAGAAAAATTTAAAAAAAGAAATTAAAGCTGAATGAACAGGCTATCAAGTCCATATCATGATTTTTGTGTAAAAAATTTTTCCAAGCCCGTGGACCGAGAAAAAAACGCAAAAAATTGAAAAAAAAAATATTTCGTCTTGTTTCTTAGAATTTCGCGATGACTGTCGCTCCTAAAAATTTTGAGCTAAGAAATCTGGAAACTAGACATTCGGCGCTTTAAAATTCTTTTTTTAAAACCTTGATACGATCATTTTTAACTGAGATACAGCATTCTGAAAAATCACTAAAAATTCGAAAAATTTTTTTGCTCCCTTCATTTTTTGCAGAAGTTTATAATTTCTACAAACTCACCTTAGTATATTGATATGGTAATATACGCAGAATCTAAGCCGTTTCTTTCGCTCTGCGTTACTTGCGACGTCAAAAACCTCGATAAAACTCTTCTTGAGCTGTGTTATATGAAGTATTAGAGTTTCAACTCCCTCGTACAATAAGAAACTAATCAGAGCAGTCGAAGGTAAAGTGAACATACCTAACAGCATCTGAATACCAAAAATAATTGATCGAATATAGACATTGGATCCATCAAACGGCAACACAATTGGTGTGAACATGCCGCAGGTCTCGCTCAATCCATGTTCCTCGTTCATTCTCTTACAGTAAGACGTTTCAGAAGAAGCGATGACTCCATAGATTAGAACTCCACATATTGCATATAAAGCGTATAAAAGTGAATACAAGTTCAATTTCTTTTTTCGCTCCTCAATTCCTTCTGGAATTTCAAACCTGTTACAATCTTCTACATCGATAAAAAATTGCGACCATTTCTCGTATAAAATTAAGAATGTAACGGCATTTGTGATGAATCCAAAAGCACCGAACATAGTCGAGAGATCTTCACTTATATCCACCCCAGTCTTGGCTGAAAACAAAAGTGCAACAAGCGTTTTAAATCTGGACACAGGAAAATGAATCACTTTTGTATTTATATCTTGATTTTGCAATAAAGGAGTTTAGTTAAAAATTGACAATTCCAGGTCTTACCTCTTACTGTTGAAATCAAATGAAGACATGGCAAAATAACAAAATTTAATAAACTTGCCAATCTAATAACAATAAATATAAATCGAAACCATGTCAGTCCTGATTTTTCTGTTGCACTTGGTATGGCATAGGTATACCTTAAAATTGTTAAGCTTGAGTAAAACGACTTTTCTTTACTTATTTCATACATTTCGAAAGCCTGTCTATGAAAATATAATCATTTGGGTGGATTTTCTTCCTTATATACCTGTATACACACGTTTTTGAATTGCAGTATATAATTAACTCTGCATTGATTTGCTGCAAGAAAAATATTGTTTGACTATAGTTCTTTAATCAAATATCTACCTTCTGTAATTTTAAAAGTTTGTTCTTTGTAACCACTCAGTTTTTTATCACAAATGGGGCTTATGGCTTGCTTTCAAACTTAATAATAGATTAAATAGAAAAACTTGTTATATATAATGAATTAGTAATTCCGTATCACAACCTCGACTATAAAAAGTATATTTTATTGAAAGAAAATATTCTCGTCCAATAATTTTATAGATTGTTTATGTTTATTATAACTTCTGATATTTTAATACAGGATGTAAGAAGTTTGATTGCAATTACTTCAGCACGAGATAGAGTAATCATAAATGAACAAAAAAGTTGTAAGCGAGTATTAATATTGGGGAGTTTCATTACAACGTGATAACAGCGCTTAACCTAACGCTACACAGCTGATGCAGACCATGTGTGCATGCGGCAGACTTGTGCTATGGAATACCAAAAATGTAAACAACTATTGTGAAACATTTAGTAAATTTCAAGACATTAATTGTTTTCCAGTTTTTAAATAAATAAAATAAAATGTATCGATTTTGTAGTACGAAGATAGTGTTGTGCTTAAATTTTAGCTCGAATTTTAGTAAATATGGATCTCATAAAACAGGAACTTAAATTTTAATCAAATTATGAATTTGAAAAATATGTATTTAAACTACCCAAATATTCACGTCATCCAAATAATCATACGTATTAAAAATAATTTAGGTACTTACCAAAAAGCAAAATTCAGTAATTTTTAAATGCACAAGTACAAAACAAACTACAACATATGCTTAAAATGTCCACCACCATTTTTAATGCACGCACGACACCTTCGAATCCAATTTTCGCGCACTCGCTGGAAAACACCTCACGAAAAGGAAATAGTAGTACGCAAAAAACACTCAGACACGGTCCAGTTCCAGATACCAACTGAATTGAGTAATGCTGGGCAGCATAGTACCTCATGTTATCCGCCGCGCCGTTGTCACATTGCTCGATATGAATTTAATCGAAATAAATTTATTACAACGCTAATTATTTTTTAGAATTAAGCATAAAGAAGTTAAAAAAATTGATAAACACTGTATTTTATTGTATTTTATGCACGCACTTATGTCAATATTTCTTAATTAATCGAACTTTTGTACATCAATTTGGAGATTATGATAATTTTCTTCTCGGAAATGGTTGAGTTTAGGACCCATGTCATATAAGGTTATTTTGTTTATTTTAATGTATTCTATCGTCTGTTAAAATTAAGGCAGTCAATCTTCTAACACCCTGTATAAATAGTCTTAGCTTGCTTTCTTCCTGCTTTGTTTGATGAAAGATTAAATAGAAAAATTATACAGGGTGTCCCGGAAATGGTGGGCAATCTCTCGGATATGGATAGATAATGAGAAAATAATGTCACAAGTTCATATAAAATTTTTTCCTCCGGGCTCACTCTGTAGAGTTATTAGCTCTTGAAGTTGAGAATTAAAAATGGTTTTTTTGCTGTAACTTTTGTATTTTTCAATAAATTTTGAAAATTTTTTGGCTGGATATATAATTTTTGAAGCTGCTTTGGATGATAATATGAAATCCTCGATAATAATTATGGGGGTCCGGGGGCAAAGCACCCCCCACAAAAACTTCTCGAAAAAAAATTTTTGTTCCACTATACCCCAAATTTTCCATCATTTTATAAAAATTTATGATATTTTACGTAAAAAAGGTATACTTGTTGAATATCCATAAAATAGATATTTTTTGAGATAAACCCGTATAAAGAGGAAGGTACCATTTAATTTGAGACATTTTATTTAATTGATTTAATCGTGGTTGGCTTTGACATGTCAGAGTAAGTATGCCAAAGGCAATTAAATTGTCAGACTTGTCAAATACGTAGTTTTAAATCTAAGACTCATCTCATAACTCATAATTTGTTATAAAATATGGAGTATTCCAATGAAGAATATGCTGATATGCATTTAATGTACGGGCGGGCTCTTTGTAATGCTTCGGCAGCAAGAAGATTTTATCAGCATTCTTATCCTAATAGAAAGATTCCGGATCGTAAAACTTTCGAACGTATTGATCAAAGATTAAGAGAAACTGGTAAAATACGATTACTATTATTAAACAAAATGGATATTAAATAAATTTTAATGTCTTTAGATCAGTTTGCTCCTGTTACTGCAAACAGGGGTGCCCCGCGAACAGCACGTACAGTTGAAGTAGAGGAAAATATACTGGACGAAGTTGCTGCTCATCCAACAGTTAGCATTAGGTCATTATCTTCTTTTACCAATGTTCCAAAGACCACTGTTGCAAGAATCCTTAGAGAACAGCTTCTTCACCCTTACCATATCCAAAAAGTGCATGCTCTTAATCCTGATGATTTTCGTGCAAGAGTACAGTTTTCTCAATGGTTTCTTCAGAGACATGAGCAAAATCCTATGTTTACGAGATTAATTCTGTATACTGACGAAGCAAGTTTTGGGAGGAATGGAGTTATTAACTCCCATAATTTACATTATTGGTCTGATGAGAACCCACACGCTATTATTGAAACTAGGCACCAAAGACAATTTTATGTTAATGTTTGGAGTGGAATTATTGGTCCTTACTTATTGGGTCCATTTGTGTTACCCCCTAGACTGAATGGTCAACGTTACCTAGATTTCCTTGTGCATCAATTACCACAACTGTTAGAAGATGTTGATCTTGAAACCAGAAATGCACTGATATTCATGCACGATGGGGCGCCGCCTCACTTTAGTGCTGCAGTAAGGGACCATTTAAACGAGGTATATCCTAATCGCTGGATAGGTCGCGGTGGACCTATTCATTGGCCTGCCCGAACTCCAGATATGAACCCACTTGACTTTTTCTTTTGGGGGCACTTGAAAAATCTTGTTTATTCCACACCTGTAACCACTAGAGAAGAATTAGAAGAAAGGATTTTTTATTGTGCAAATGAAATACGACAAAATCCTGAAATGTTATGGAGAGTGCAACAGTCTTCTGTTAAACGAGCTCGCATTTGTATAAGAGAAGGTGGAACTAATATTGAGAATTTATTATGAATTATGTTGGTTACAAAATTTTGATTGTCATGCACTTTTCGTTTAGTTAGTTTAGTTAAGTCTAAATTCTCATAATTTGGAACACTGCTATTGCAAATTATTTGTCCTTTATTCCGATATGTAAAAGCCAACTACGATTAAACCTGTGTTTCTGTTAAATAAAATGTCTCAAATTAAATGGTACCTTCCTCTTTAAACGGGTTTATCTCAAAAAATATCTATTTTATGGATATTCAACAAGTATACCTTTTTTACGTAAAATACCATAAATTTTTATAAAATGATGGAAAATTTGGGGTATAGTGGAACAAAAATTTTTTTTCTAGAAATTTTGGTGGGGGGTGCTTTGCCCCCGGGCCCCCATAATTATTATCGAGGATTTCATATTATCATCCAAAGCAGCTTCAAAAATTATAGATCCAGCCAAAAAATTTTCAAAATTTATTGAAAAATACAAAAGTTACAGCAAAAAAAACATTTTTAATTCTCAACTTCAAGAGCTAATAACTCTACAGGGTGAGCCCGGAGGAAAAAATTTTATATGAACTTGTGACATTATTTTCTCATTATCTATCCACATCCGAGAGATTGCCCACCATTTCCGGGACACCCTGTCTATCTTGATTTGATTGATTTTGATATGAAAATATTGTATTTAATTGCTTCACTATCCTTAAAAGAAGAAATTACATAAAAATTATGAATACAGTATATTCATCATTTTTTATGTCTTTTTTCAATATTGATAACGCATTAAAAACTACACATCTAAGTTTTTCTTACGTTATGAATATTACAATGCTAAAAACTGCAGTTGAAATTCGGTCATATTTAACTATTATATTTATTATTATTACTTTTATATTATATTTATTTCAAATTATATATCAATTCTTTGGATAACCGTTGGGATGGACGACCCATTTCCTTAAATCGATTTTCGATATATGCATAATAAATGCCTTTTTTATTTTAAAATAAACGAGTTTATTTGATTAATCTAAAATTATTTCTACAGATTTTACCTACCTACCTAACTTAGTTGTTAACGCATCAACTAACAAAAATTAAACAGTTCTAAAATGTATGTCACGTACATGTACAAAGTATAAGAAAACTTTTTAAATTTTCTAAGTTTTGATATACATAAGTTTTGTTGTTAGCGTTGTAACAAATAATTATATGCCGAGATGAAGGAAACGATATAGCATTATATCGAGTCTTTTATAGGTACGTATTCCCCGTCATATTGTGCAAAAGTAATTTTTTTAACGTGGTAGAGAACTTGTTCTGACCTAACAACTTGAGTTAGGATTAAAAGGTTTCCATTAACTGAAAATAAGCATATTAATTAATTATAAAATTTGTCACTTTAAACAGCACACCATAATAAATAAATAATTCATAATTTCTTATTGTAATACACTTATAATAACTGATCTCCGGGATCTAAGTAGTATAAGACATATGTCTCATTATCTGGACATTACCAACGTACCATTTTGTGTTGATGCTCTACCGATTACTGGCATAAATGTTTTCGGTTTAATATCTTGAAGTCCACCTTGGTTTGACATTGAAATCCAAGGTTAACTTTTTTAAATCGCTTTTGGAGATAAGCATATTTAATGTTATTTCATGATAAAATAAAGCCACTTATTTGATAAATAGTTTTATTGAGGCATTCACATGTTACTAGTTAATCTAATATTATTTTTCTATTTTGAGTAGGTACTTCCTAGCATATTAACCGACAAAAAATTTATTGCTTTTTCTGGTTTTGCAAAAAAACGCAGCAAGTTATACTCCCGTATCTCTGATCCTAATAAGAAAAACAAATAGTTCTAAACATTCTACTAACTGATACTTTTTTACGAGACATCTGGTGTAACTAAATAATTCTAATGTGACGTAGAGAAAAGTGGAATTATTTTTTTTATGGAAAAAAACTTTATTTCTACACTTTTGCTTAAAATATACATTTAATTCAAAGGAAACAACAACAGTGCAAAATATTTATTTTACAATGGAAATTGAAATACAATTTAAAACTGAAAATAAGCGGTTCTTAAATATTAAATAAGGATTTCTAATTTTGAATAGTGTATCCAAAATTAGGACCTTTGTTTCTCTGATAATTGCAATAGATTTTAATATTTTAAGGATTCCAATTTTAGCATGCATTTCATTTTTTGAGCATATTGCTAATATAAAATATATGCAGATTCCTAATTTTAGATATCTAATAATGAGGTACTACGCCTATGCTAAATTTGTAAACCTAATTGTATTGCCTCAAAAAGAATCATGTTTTATAGTAATGAACAAAAATTTTAACGCAGTAAGATAATCTTTCCGTTTACTTTACTCTGGGCTAAATTACTGATTACGTTGGCTTTAAAAATATGAAGGTGTCCAAAATTAGGCAACTGTCTAAATACAAGCGACTTTCCTCTATTGACAATTACTTTAAAATGCATAAGCGTTTTATTCGTCTAGTCCTACGTATCTATTGTTACATTAAAGATGTAATTTGTATTTGTGCTAAAGCTCATTGTATTATAGTGGTAGAAAGTTTTGTAAACAATCCATTGCCTGTATCAGCAGCCGTTGTGTATTTTTTTTCCTAAGTGTTCTGACTTAGCAACGTGAGATAGGAGTAAGACGTCTTCATTATCTGTAGGAAAATAAACACGCCAGTTAAAAAAATTAGGTCACAATAAACAGCGCATGTACCATCAAAAATAAGGGGTAATTCATCACTCCTAGGGGCAATGCTCCCAATGTTGCTGGTATCTGTGCTCTGGCTAGTATAAAACATATGTCCCTCATAATTTGCACGTCGCCATCATACCATTTTGAATCGTACAACGCGTCGGCAACTGACAGCGTCTGAAAACATAAAAAATGGCATTACAATGATATTATATAGTGATGATAAGCAATAAAAAATGGATATATAAGAATACAGTCAAAAACATTAAACCGTTTGTTTAACCTAATCTTTCAATGGAGAAAATTCAGACTTCGATTGCAGTCGATGTTAATATATTTAAAAATCTTACTTCATCTAGTATCCTTTGACCTCCATGGCAAAGCAGGAACAAAGCCGCTACATATCCCAAAAAGTAACATATGCCGGCAACTGGTTTAGACTAAAAAGCAATGCAAAATTAATTGATAAAAATGTAGTCGAATTGCACACTTTGGGGTGATTTTTACATATTCTTCTCATTAAAATAGGCAACTTTTTCATATAACTTTTTTGGAAATTCCTAAAAATAAGCGAGAAAAGTAACTGTTAACGCTTCAAATGTTTATTTAAAAATAAAACATAAGGTCACGTCCTAAACAGAAATAATATATTCAAAATTCACCATTCATTTTAATACAACGGTCTACAATATGTAACCACTATTCTTTCACGGCGGCCAATCAGTTCCTCTCGGCGGTTGAAACATTAATATCTTCATGCACTCTCTCAAACTGAAATCACCAGCGTCAAGGTCCGGTGACCTGGGTGGTCCGTGGTTGCGTATCCACTTATATGGAAATATGTTCAAAAACTCACCCAGTAGCTGACTAAAATTTGTAAGTGCTCCATTTTGCAAAAGTCACGTGTCCTGTCGGTTGTTTAGTAGTTTCGTAAAGATTTCAAATACAAAGCGCCCTCTGAACGATCGTGTATGTGGTTCAATAAACATATTCATGATTGATTACACAGCCACACAAAAAAAATCGACCTTCGGGTCCAGAGGTCGGACCATGTTTATAATAATACGTTTTTTGGGTCGCTGAATCCTAATCTGTGTCTATTTAACCCCATCACCTTTTCATAACCTCAAAAAAAAACAATATTCTGAACAATTAAACCATATAACCTTAAGACTCAAGTTTCCAACACGAAATCCAATTAACCAAACCCCATAAACATTTAACCCAATGATATCCTAACCTAATAAGTCCATTTTGGAGTAAATGTATGGTGCGGCATCATCGGTAGGCATTTAATTGTGCCTTATTTTTATGAACATACATTGAACAGCGTGAGTTACCTAAACTTCCTACAAGAAGAACTTCTTGCACTTCTGGAGAATGGTTTCAGCACGACGGGGCTCCACCCCACAAGCCCATTTAGATAACACTTTCCCAGAAAAATGGATTGGGTTTAATGGACCTATTCAGTGGCCCGGAATGTCACCAGATCTAACACTCCTCGATTTTTTTATGGATGGTTTTAAAAATAATGTTTACAAAACACTTTCGCGAGATGAGTTAAAGGCGAACTGTTAAGAAACGCAAGCCACAAAGAAGTCAGGCGAAGATTGGATATGTGTCTTGAAATGAGAGAAAGTCATATAGAGAATAGATTGTAATATGTATGTAGTATGAAAGCGTTTGCTTTATTTTTTAAGTTTAGTTATTGTTATCATCACCTTTTGTTTTAACTGTATTAAAGAATTATCGAGTTTAATCCTTTTATTTATTCTTAATGACATTTATGCACTTTAAACAATGAACATTCTATTATTTTCCAACGACTACTTGATCCTTCCACCGCCATGTGATTTTTAGGTGGTATTTCTTTTAAGACTCTTTAGGACGAAATTGCTTAAAACTTTTAAACGGGAAGTAATACAGAAAAATTTCTCTAATAAAAGTTTATTAGAAAAAAGAGAGCTTTTTAACAGGAACGCAGAAATTGTGGTTTTGTGTTATTCTTAATGGCGGACTGAGTCAATTCTACTGATGATGGCTGCAAAGCAATATGAGTAGAATATTGCTATAGCAGTAATTTTTGTGAAATGTTTATAGAAAAAAATAATCGGATGACTTCGATAAGTTGCTAATTAACAATTCTGACATGTGGCAAATACCAAACTGCCCGCTTTGACTGTTGGCAATAGTAGTTTGTAAATTACATTCATGCATGTCTCACAAGGGATCTACCCCAACCCGAATACTCCGATTTCCAAGAATTTTATATATGTTGTAGAACTTAAAAATTTAGAGACACGTATTTTTTTTACCGGCGGAATGTAAACGGATGTAAACTACTCCTGATGTTCACTCCCAAAAACAGTATTTCCTAGATATCTCGGAATCAATATTTTGGAATGAAACAAAATGGAAATTACTTATAAAAAAACAACTCAAGTAATTCCGTGTTTTGGGGATTGCAACCTTTGTTTTACTTCGGAAAAACAATTTAAAAAAAAAATTTTATATATTAAAAATTCATATTTGCTCAAAAAAAATTATAAATATGATTTATGTAAACAAATTGACAAAAATAAAGTTCTCTTTTTAAGGGGTGAACAACCCCCTAATGTGCGAAAAATGTTTGTACGATTAAAATTAACATTTTAATATAAAAACTTTTTACTTTTTCTCTAATCATATGAATAATTTTTTCTGATGTTCTCCACCAAAAAACAATATTTCCGTGATATCTCGGGCTCTAATCAATATACTGGAATGAAACAAAATGGCAATTATTTCTATTGAACAGAATGAATGATTCACAAGCAATCTTGTCTGGAGTTTTTATTTTTAGTGAAAATTTACGAAAATAAAAAATACAATACAATTTTTCTGTAGTACATCTACAAAACGGGGGATGCAATCCCTAATGTTCAATCGACTGCGAATCGTCCTATTTAGTAGAGGCCGTTTTGATTTTGCTTAATCAAAAGAAGTTTGATAGGACCAATAGAGGACAAGATATACATATATAAAAATGTGTTTTCGGGTATGAACATTAAAGATGGTCTTAACCCTTCAAAACAGTTTTTCCGCAGAAAGAACCAAGTGCCCAATATTTATTTTTCTTCTGTCTGTTTGTAAAGTATCAAAGATTCATGCTTAAAAGCTTAAAACTCGATCCACCAATATTCTTTTTATTTTTGGATTCTTAATAAATATTTCTGTGAAATTTTAATAATCCTCCTCATACTTTTCTTCCTATTTAATTATGTATCTTTTCAATAGTTGATTTTAGGCGAAAATGGAAGAGGAAAAAATGTGTGTAATTAAATTTTACAAAATATGACTAGTTACAAATCGAATGAATCATGATTATTATTGTAAAAATCGAATAAATCGCCAAAAATTGGGTTAAAAAACATTATTTTTTAGGGATTTTTTTTGGGGCCTTTATGTTGGGTATAGGACCTTCATACTTGGCTCAAGAAAAGTTCATGTTATGTAGAATCATCACACCAAATTTCATCAAAATCGGTTCGATAGATTTTGCATAATAATTTTGCAATCCAGATTTTGAAAAAAAAAATTGCAAATTTTCAAAATTTTGCACAGCAAAAACCGAGGCCCTTAGATACTTAAAAATGTAATCACATATAGAAAGGCTCTCAAGCTTTCAAACGCTTTTTTAAAAATTGGAATCCGTCAATTAGGAGAGCGCTGGCGCCTGTTTAAACATTGATCGAATTTTTGTACTTAAAAACAATTAGAATAACTTTGTAAATATTCAATCAAATCAAATTTTTAAAGCTGGTTTTAAAAGTTATTGGAAAGACGCTTCTTTAAAAAAAAACAGATCGGTTGGTCAATTAGTTATTACGTAGTTATAGCTGATCAAAGTTAACCGCCATTTACACGAAATGTACTGGGACATCCGGGCTAATTTTTCGAAAAATACCTTTGGTATTCCGAGTTATTACCAGGTCTAAGTTTGCAATACTTTTCTTCATTGGCAACCTACTTTAACACGCGTTTAAATTTATTTATGCGAGCGAGAAATTCAAGAAAATCGTACGGGTGGTGGTGGTTGGGGTGGCAGAGAGCGCGGCCGCTTCGGCCTGCTCGAAATTCAATCGGCGAGTTCAAAACCGCGACGCGCTTAAAAAATTTGTAATATCTCAGCTTAGAGGTCCGATTTTGATATTTTTTTTTTAATGGATGTCTTGCGATTTAAAAAAAAACAATTAGAGTATTTTCAAATGCCTGTCATTAATAATAATTATTGGTCTTTCAACAGTCCGATAATTATTTATCTTTAAACTTCCTTTAATTATCAACTTTAGACGTACAAAAATTCGACCATTGTTTAAACAAGCGCCAGAGCTCTCCTAATTGACGGATTCGAATTTTCAAAAAGCGTTTGAAAGATTGAGAGCCCTTCTATATGTGATTAAATTTTCAAGTATCTAAGGGCCTTGGTTTTTGCTGTGCAAAATTTTGAAAATTTGCAAATTTTTTTTCAAAATCTGGATTGCAAAATTATTATGCAAAATCTATCGAACCGATTTTGATGGAATTTGGTGTGATGATTCTATATAACATGAAGTTTTCCTGAGCCAAGTATGAAAGTTCCAACTCAATTTAAAGACCTCAAAAAGATTTCCTAAAAAGTAATGTTTTTTAACCCCATATTTGGCGATTTTTTCGATTTTTACCATAATAATCATGATTCATTCGATTTGTAACTATTCATATTTTGTAAAATTTAATTACAAAATTTTTTTTCCTATTGCATTTTCGCCTAAAATCAACTCTTGAAAAGATACATAATTAAATAGGAAGAAAAATATGAAATTTTTCGCATTTTTTTAACATATTGTGCCGCCAAAAGTTAAGCCCACGTTTTTTTTTATGCGCATAGAAAAATTTTCATTTCTAGTGATATTTGAAAGCCAAAAAGCCAAAAATCTCCGTGGATATACGATTCACCCAAATATGGACTCTTTGAAACAGATACCGTCTGGACTAATGGTGCTACTTACAGAGTCAGAGTAACCTAAGTTCTCTGCCTTCTTCATTTGGCACATGTCAAAAATGTTAGCAACTTTTCGAAGTCATCCGATTAATTTTTTCTATAAACAATTCACAAAAGTTACTGTTTTTATTGCAATATTCTACTCATATTACTCTGCAGCCATCATCAGCAGAAATGATTCAGACTGCTATCAATAGGAAAGAATTTATGTTCGGACCCAAGTACTGAGAAAACTTTTGGTCAGTAACATAAAACCAACAACTTACCACAATTTCAGTCAATTTGACCGACATTTTCATAGGGACCGTGCGGTGTCCTTTAGTCTAAAACTTAGTGCCTACAAGGGAAAAATTAATGTTTCTTTCAATGAAAGAGAATAATACTCACTTTTAATATGAAATTTCCAATGCATCCGAATACCACTGCACATGTCATACACAGAAATCCAGCTGAATGTTTTCCTAAAGTACTTAGACGTTGACATAAACTGTAAAAATTCATATTAAAGAGTTTTAACAAAAAAATAAATAAAATAAAAAAAGTATTTTCAGAAAGTGGATCTAGGCACTGTTACAAATGATACAATGATTATTTTAGATTATTAACCCAACCTAATTTTGTGTTTTGAGAGGATCCTACGTTTTCTAATTATTCTAATAATTATAAATAATTTTGCCATTAATAAATATGCTAAATACTGAAGGTCGAATGTGCTACCTTTTGGTACAACGCTCTTGCTATGTACAAAATTGTAACTGTAAATTTGTGCTGTTATATTATCCTAAAATATATAGAGTAAAGTCGGGGATTATGAAATATATCCGTTAATATGGAATACCATATTTTTGGCTGAACTAATAGCTCCATCTATGCTCATGTGTTATAATATCATTCAAATGAGTTCAAGATTCTCCCACAAGAGTGCTTAGTCCATAGGCATTAACCGTGTGGTCTTGTTGACAGCTGATCTGATTTCGGTGCACATGATAACTTTTGGTAAGTACATTAAAGTTTTATTATAAACACTTTTGAAGGTGCATTCATTTGATATTATTGTTTAATTAGGTTAATGAATGATGTATGAAAGCTAAAATGTAGGGATACTGCTCAATTTAGATAACTTATATTTTTTTATAACCTCTCTCAAATTTATAAAGGCGGCGATTATGAAATAGTATTCCATATTACCCGACTCTTCCTTACTATATTAAAATTCTAAAATTGGTTTCAGAAATGCCTCGAATGCTTACGAAAATGAAACCCACATCTTCACAACGTAAAAAGTGGAATGAGGAAGACATGAAGAAAGCTGTGATAGCAGTTAGAAGCAAAATCAAAAGATTGAATGTGCCTCGTGCCACTCTTTTAAGTCTTTGTAAGAAGGATGGTACTGCTAGTGAGGTATGCCAAACAAAACTAGGAAGGAAACCTATTTTGCCAGATCAACTGGAAAAGGAGCTAGTGAAGCATTGCCTGGCAATGGAGAAAACCTTTTATGGGTTAACTAGACGGGATATCTGTAATCTCGCATTTCAGTTAGCTAGGAGGAATAACATCCCAAATTATTTCTCCCTACTCAAAAAAAACGGCCGGAAAGGATTGGCTAAAACGTTTCAGATTAAGACATAAGGACGTGTTAAGCCTACGAAAGCCGACAGGAACGTCATTTGCACGAGCACTGGGCTTTAACAAGAAAAACGTTGATGAGTTGTTTGATCTGTTAGAGAAAGAAATGGAAGATAAAAACTTTTCAGCTAATCAAATATTTAACGTTGATGAAAGTGGTCTTAGCATAGTTCAATCAAAGTGCCCTGAGGTTTTTTCTCAAAGGGGAAAACGGCAGATAGGAGCGCTGACAACTGCAGAGCGAGGGTCTCTAGTGACTTGCGTATTGTGTATGAGCGCAAGCGGCAATTATGTGCCTCCTTTGCTTATATTCCCTCGCAAGAATTCCAGCGAATTGATAAAGAAGGGAGCCCCACCAGAAAGTATTTTTGCCTTCCATCCATCTGGGTGAATTCAGACCGACATATTTACACAATGGTTCAACCATTTCATAGATTATGTAAGACCAAGTGCCGGAAACCCTGTACTTTTGATTTTGGACGGGCATCACACCTACACTAGAAACTTAGATGTTATTTTCACTGCTAGGGAAAACCACGTATCTACAAGGTGTAACTGAAATAAGTAGTCAAAATTTCTGAGCTTGTAAAACAAGTCGAAAAATGACGAAAACTTTAGTACAATTTTTGTCAGTGGCGGCTCCTAAGGGAGCTACGCTCTCCTAAAGGGGTAACCTCGGAAACAGTTTTTAATGCGTAACATCCAAACGGCTCGACATTAAGTCACGAAATTTTGGTGAGATATTAACCTTGACGTGCTTAATAAGTCTCATAAAATACATTTCAAAATTTGCTACAGGGGCGTGAGAAAATGCAGGACCCAGGGACAAATTTAATCATATCTTTTTTGTAGTCAATTTTTTCTAGTTCCTGACTCGAAAATATTGAAATTTGAAGTATTTAACATAAAAAAGGTCCTCTTGTTAAATTTCACTAGGATGTGCCGTTTTCCAGTAAAATCGATTTCAATCATTCCCAACGTGCTCCAAATTCAACTTTCATTACATAGCAAAATAAATTAATTGCAGTGTGCCATGGGGAAAACAACTAGTCTGACAGTTAACAGAAATGTCAAATATTTTTAACACTCTTAATAGTAACAAATAAAAATATGGTGATATAAATAAAAGCTAAAAAATAGATACATATGAGATTATTTATTAAACTATTGTAAGCGGCTGAAACTTTTACGTAACATTTTAACAGATTTAAACCATTTAGTTTAGTTTAACAAATTAACCAAATATCTTAATTTCTTTAGCAGAAAATGTGCCCTAGTCAAGAAGACAGACTAGATTCAACTTTCAAAATGTCCGCCGTTTGCCCTAATGCACGCACGTAACCTGTTTTCCAAAGAAAATAGGTTCCGGTATAGTTTGTGCTCCACATTGAGTTCATTAAATACATTTTCTATACGCTGACGCAACTGTTCCTCATTGTCAACAGCTTGGAAATACACTTTTTGTTTCATTTGACCCCACACGTTAAAATCCATTGGGTTGAGGTCTGGTGACCGTGGAGGCCAATTTATGGCAGCATCATTTCCTCGGCCAATCCAGCGATTTGGGAAGTGCTCGTTTAACCACTGTCGACATTGACGGTTGAAGTGAGGAGGGGCGCCGTCATGCATGTACCATAAGGAACCTCGTCTTACCAAAGGAATATCCTCTAAAAATTCATACAATCTAGTAGACAAAAATTGATGGTACATTGCTCCGGTTAAATTTCCAGGCATGATGTGATATCCAAATAGATTATTTCCTAATGTGGCAGCCCAAACATTTATTTTAAATGAATGCTGATAATGGGTTACCTTCCGAGCATTAGGATTTTCTTCGGCCCACATATGTTCATTGCGCATATTAAAAACACCGCTTCTGGTAAAGGTAGCTTCATCGGTAAAAATAATATTCGATAGAAACATCGGATCTTCGGCTTGCCTGTCTAAAACCAACTGACAAAACTGTCTGCGCATGGGCCTGTCCTGTGGTAAAATGTCTTGGGCCTGTCTATAATGATAGGGATACAATTGTTGTTCTCTCATTATCCTCCATACTGTCATATGAGACATGTTATTTTGAACTGATAGTCGTCTTGTACTAAGTGTGGCGTTAGCTTCAACTAAATTTAAAATATTTTCCTCATTCAGGACATTTCTAATTATTCTACGCCTGCCTCTCTCAAAATTGTTCCTTTTTAACGTACCCCGTTCTCGCAAACGCCTTTCTGTGCAAAGAAATGTTTTGTAATTGGGCACATTTCTGTTGGGGAACTTTTCACCGTATCGTTGTGCGGCTGCTCTTGCGCTTCCATGACATTCACCTAACGTCAAAAGCATATCTACATACTCAGAAAATGTATACTGTTGCATTTTTAAATTATTTGATATTTTTATTTACTATAAAACGGCACTGCGAATACTCAAATGACACAAATTTGAAACTAAAAATACTTGACATTTCTGTTAACTGTCAGACTAGTTGTTTTCCCCATGGCACACTGCAATTAATTTATTTTGCTATGTAATGAAAGTTGAATTTGGAGCACGTTGGGAATGATTGAAATCGATTTTACTGGAAAACGGCACATCCTAGTGAAATTTAACAAGAGGACCTTTTTTATGTTAAATACTTCAAATTTCAATATTTTCGAGTCAGGAACTAGAAAAAATTGACTACAAAAAAGATATGATTAAATTTGTCCCTGGGTCCTGCATTTTCTCACGCCCCTGTAGCAAATTTTGAAATGTATTTTATGAGACTTATTAAGCACGTCAAGGTTAATATCTCACCAAAATTTCGTGACTTAATGTCGAGCCGTTTGGATGTTACGCATTAAAAACTGTTTCCGAGGTTACCCCTTTAGGATAGCGTAGCTCCCTTAGGAGCTGCCACTGATAAAAATTATACTAGTTTTCGTCATTTTTCGACTTGTTTTACGAGCTCAGAAATTTTGAATACTTATTTCAGTTACACCTTGTATATTGTGCTTACCACCTCACACTACGCACAAGATGCACACAAAAATGAAGAAACTCCCGTTGAACATGAAAATCAGTTTATCGCCCCGCGTCTCCAGGAAGATGCCGATGAAGGAACAAATGGAGAACCAGTTTTACCACAACAAATAGTTCTTATTCCCGTTCTTAAAAAACGACAAGGCACAAGAGGCCGCAAGTCGGGAACGGCCAAAATTTTGACTACCACCCCAAACAAAAATGAACTGGAAGAGTCAATTTTATCGAAAAGTGAAAAAAATAAAGTTAAAAGAAAAGTTGGGTTCGATGGAAAGAAAAAGATAACTGACGATGGAAAACCTGGTAACAGCAAAATGAATGATGACGCCAAAGCAAGTTCAAATTGTGTTACGAAAAAAGCTAGAAAGAAACTGGTAGAAGACGACACATCTTCTGATGATTTAAATGAAAGTATCCCTCCCTTGGATGACTCTACTGATGATGAAGAATTTTCGAATATTGATAGTAACGCAGAAGACGATGCAGAATGCCTTTTCTGTCTAGAACGTTTTAAGGCTGACTTAAGGGGAGAAATATGGATACGGTGCCTTAGATGCGAGCTTTGGGCACACGAACTGTGCGCCAATGCCGAACGCGATTACTATATTTGCGATTTTTGTAGTTAGTTTCTTTCATTTTGGAAATATAATAGTATTCCATAATACCCCATATACATATTTCATATTACCCCACCATTTTTTCGGCTACCAGAAATGTACCTTTTTCCACTAACACGAATTTTTTTTTGTGTATGTATTTTTTAACTTTGTTATTATAGTTCGATATAATAAACCTTTTGGCCAAGCCATCACCATTTTTTTTTATTTATATTTTATGAAATAGGTACTGTTCGAAATAATTCGATAAATAAAAGTAGTTTTCTATAATCCCCGTCTTTACTCTAGTAATGCTAGTTACCTCAACATGTTATCATGGAAGTACACACAAAATCGTAGCTTATCCTTTCTTTCTGCTTCACTAGTGGTTTCAAAAACGTTAATAAAGCTCTGCTTCAGCAATGTTATGTATGCAACCAAAGTTTCTACAGCTTCATACAGCATAAAGCATACTACAGCAGGCGCAGAAAAAGTCGTCATAGCTATAAACGCCTGTATAACAAATATAATAGATCGAACGAAAATGGGATTTCCATCAAAAGGCAACACGAGCGGCGTGAATGTGCCACAGATTTCGTTCGAACCATGTTCTTCGTTGAATTTTTTACAGTGCGAGGTTTCCGCAATAGCGATCACTCCGTATATTGCAACTCCAACTACAGTGTATAGCGCGTATAGAACGGAATATAAATTCAAATTCTTCCTTAATGCTTCTATATCTGTTGGTATTCCGAACCTATTGCAATTTTCAAGGTCGATGAAAAATTGTGACCATTTGTCGTATAGGAGTAGGAAAGAGATAGTGACTACATTGGCTCCAAAAGTACCGAACATGTTGGAGAAATCTTCACTAACATCCACGCCTGTATTACCTGAAACAAAAAAAAAAACGCATCTTAAAGTAGACGGGAATATTCAAAATTTGCAGTTTAATTCTTGTTTTTTAATAAATCTAAACACATTTCACTAAGATAGTTATTAGAGATTTTGGTGCAAAAATCAGGCAAGCTCACTTTTTATAGAAATTGACTTTTAACAGTTCATAATGTCACGGTTATGTTGATTCAAGAATCGATTAAATTGATAGATATCAACACCTTTAATATTTTAACTAATAGATCAATCAATTGAGGTTTTGTTTGTGAAAAAAATACTAGTAGCAAACGGACTGTGCCGTCATATAAAAGACAATATGTAGATATACTGGGTGATTCAGTTTGATATTCGCGGTCTCGTATCTCTTTTGTTTTATCAAATATCTATAACAAACCCTATATATTTTTAAATCGCCGATCAAATTCTATCAAATGACATTGTTAGATCGTCTCCATGGTAACATATGTCAAAATTGCTATAGTCAACTGTTTTTGTTCAAATGGCACACTATATATTTTTTTTATCAATTCTGGAAGATATTTCTTTTCTGCGTTCAACTATGTAAGGAAGTCTATAGTTTCATTAGAAATATTGCTAGAAAATCAGCAAAAAAAGATGAACCCTACTTTCAGTAGCTTTATTCTGAAAAATGATAGCCAGCTGCGGAAACAACTGAATTTTGACGTTTCAAAATAACGATTTTTCAAAATAATTGACATTTTGTACCTACCTATTATATCTATAACTAATTATTATTAAGTACTATAACATGAATACTTATAGTAACTAAGAAAAACTAGATATGATTTTAATTTATGGAGAGTGCTGAAAGAATGCTAAAGCTGCCAGGCATTTATACTGTAGTATAACAACCCTGGGTTCGATCGAAAAAATAAACGTAGTTGTGGCCAAAAATATGTGATCGTCATAAGGAATACCTACGTTGTGTGTGTCTATTTTTTAATTGACCGGAAGGCGCTGAGGGGATGTATGGTTAAATTTTATAAAACAAAGACAGAGTAAATACACCTAACTTTATTATTTATGTACAACAGTCTTCAAATTAAACAAGTGACAATAGAATGAACAACAAAAACATTAACAACCATTTAACATAAAATGAGAGTGCCAGGCTCACCTAGAGCTCCTGTGGGGAAAGAGCATGGCAGAGAAACCCAAGATCGTTGCTCTTACCACCCAAATATAAATACAAAACAACCGCTAACCAAAGGCATAAATTAAGAACCTTTGCTAATGATAAATAAGACCTGTCTCATTTAATGTGTCACTAAATGTCATCTGTTACCTCATATTAGTCATACACACTTCCAAGTAAAACTGAAGAGGTTTGGTGTTAGTTAGCCGGCAGAGCCGGAAGGTACTGGAGTCCCATACGGGAGGCAATCCAGCTATAGTTGAGATTTCGGAAGATCCTTCATAACACTGGAGTCCCATACGGGAGGCAATCGAGCTTAATCCAGATTCGTTCCGCACGGGCGAAAATGTTAGTAAATTCAACAAGGCTCGTATAGACGTATGACATAAAGTGAGCACAAGAAATCAAAGAACAACCTAATCATGATAAAACAAGTTAAATGTGAAACAAAGAGGTCGTTAATGCAATATCTGGGCAGTCACGACAATATACATATTTTAACATGTAATAAATAATGAGCAATCTATAATAATAATTGTAACAATTTTATCTTAGAAAAATACACGCCCCTGAGCGTAAGACAATGAAAGCTAAACATATACAGAATTATTATCATGAAACATCTATATTTTACGAACAACGTAATCATGACAAAAACAAGTTAGATGTGAAACAAAGGAGTCATTATTGTAATGTCTGGGCAGTCACGACAATATATATATTTTAACATGAAATAAATAATGAGCAATCGTTAATAATAATTATAACAATTTTACCTTAGAAAAATATATGCCCTTGAGCATAAAGCAATGGAAGCTAAACATACAAAGAATTATTATCATGAAACATCTATAACCATCACAATCATAAGATTACATATAACAATTAACAACAAAGTACTTAAAGAATATTACCTGCTAACTAATACCGATTAAACACTTAATTTTTCACTACTTCTATATTTTTCACACTACACTGGTCGTCTTACTTTTCACTCCGCGCTGTTCTCACTTCAACTGCCTATCTTCGACTCTCTAGGCTTCCTTCCAGAATTCCCTACCTAAGCGCTTGTTTTTTGTGCTTCCTTCTACCGACCGTTAATATTACTTTTTCATTATTGTGCAACATCCATGTAATAGGTGACGTCGAAGTTGATAAGATAAGTACGGTTTTGCACAATACCAACATCGTTTTCCGCAGAGACTACTTCCATCAGATAAAATTTTTGGAAAGTTAACCAGGAATTTGGCAGCAGAGGGTGTTCAAAAGAAAAGAAAAGTTTTTAAACCCAGAAGGGTAAGAGATAAAGAACAATCGATAAAGATGTTAAATGGCCTGCTATAGATCTCCGGATCTCATTCCTACAGATTTCTTTCTTTGGCCTTACCTAAAAGAAATAGTTTACTCTTCGCCTTTAAATGATATTGACGATCTTAAAATCAGAATAAGATTAGAATGTCGGAGATTAAATGAAGAAACACTAGAATGTGTTTGGAGAGAGGGAGTGATAAATAGAGCTATTCTGTGTTTGGAAGCAAATGGAGGTCATTTTGAACATTTGAAATAAGTATTGTTTAATATGTATAATATGTTACTTTAAAAAACATAGTAACTTGTTTTCGCAGCTGGCTATCATTTTACAGAATAAAGCTACGAAAAGTAGAGTGCATCTTTTTTCTTGTTTTTCTAGCAATATTTCTAATGAAACTGTAGACTTCCTTACATAGTTGAACGCAGAAAAGAAATATCTTCCAGAATTGATAAAAAAAATATATATTGTGCCATTTGAACAAAAACAGTTGACTATAGCAATTTTGACATATGTTACCATGAAGACGATCTAATAATGTCATTTGATAGAGTTTGAGCGGCGATTTAAAAATATATAGGGTTTGTTATAGCTATTTGTTAAAATAAAAGAGATACATGGCCGCGAATACCAAACTGAATCACCCGGTATATTTCTTATATGTTTCTTACTCCAATTTACCATTAATTTTTTATAAATATTTTATGCAAAACACGTATTTTTTTAGTGTTTTGCTTAGAAAACCTAAATTAATGAAACAATCTGAATGCTGTAAAGAGAAAATTTGTAGAGAATCGAAATACGAATGAAATGAGAGGTCGATCGATCCGATCGGATAATTAGAAACGAAGAAAACCCGGAAAAATCGGAAATTTAGCTTTTTTGAAAAATTCATTACTCTGCCATTTTTTAAGTTGTAAAGAGGACTCTATGCATAAAAATAGTGAATTATATGTACTTTAAGAGTGCACAAAGCAGGCGCTGTCGGACCATTAGTTTTCGCACAATTGCAATTTGAATATTTTTGTGCACTATTTTGCACAATTTCTAGATGCGTTGGAGGTGGTCCGATTGTAATTTTTCAGCCGGTTTTTAAAAGTAGAAGTATAATACTACAAAACTAATATTCTAATTTTCCGATAAAATGATGCGAAATAGGTGAAAAATTCGTCCAAACATGCTCAAAAACGGCCGAACGTGCGTGCGCCATCGAGTAGTGGGGGAAAATTTGGAGATTAGGAGCAGTGTATATATGAACAGGGTGTTTCAGAAAGACCTCCCGTAAATTCAGGGGGTGATAGTACGACAAAAAATAAGAATTTTTAATTACCATATACCATCCCTTTGTTATAATAAAGCAAACTCTGCAAACTCAGCAGTTTTAGAGATATATAAATTCTCTACTTAGAATAATTAGAGCAGTCTTGTTTACCACTCGTGTATGTTATGTAGGAACTTCAGAATAGTGTTTTTTTAATTCCTAAAAAAAAATTGTATTTTTAAAAAAGTTAAATAAAAGCCCAAAATTGAAACTGGCGCAGTCTTGTGGATTTGTACACGAAGAATTTTTTTTCTTCGTCGCTTTAAAGTGTTTGTGTGCAAAACGAAACCGAAACTACCCAAGGAAATCAAGAAAATCACAATTCCAGGCTGGTAAACTGAGTAGCTAGTCGAGAAGAAAAATACACAACACAGGTAACAAGATTCAAATTTATGTTTGATTAAAAGAAAATTAGTCACCGGGCAATAGGGCCAGAACAGAAAAACAAAAACAAAGAAATTTGTGGCTAAAACAATCGTCACTGGACAATTAGGTCAAACCGCAAATTCCAAAAACCCGTGATTGGTTTAAAGGATATAAACCACCAGGCAATTGGGCCAAATCACGACAAACCAAAAGTGTGGTAGATTAACAGAAAATCTCCAGGCAATTGGGCCATACCACACCAACGACGCAAAAACCGGAGAGGCCAGGAAGAAGAAACCGGAGAGGCCAAAGGGCAACGATCCAAAGGACAACGATCCAAAGGA